CAACTCTAAAAAAGAGGAAAAAAATTACATTTTTTATCTTATACCTCAGATATTTTGTTCTGTGTATTTTAATATTGTGGGTCTTTAATTTCTGAAGGTTCCGTAGTTTGATTGCTGGCTGTAGAAGTTTTTGTGGTTGATCTAGAAAGCTGCTAGATATGAATAAAAACTGTTTTAGGGCCACAATCAAGAGTGCTATATCATGTAAATGAATTATATATGCTGAATATTAAGCTATTGGGATTATCACATGTTTTGTAAGAGTGTAAGTGACTACAGTAGTCATTTTTTCTGCATCTACATTTATTTTAGTTTATGAAAAGGGAGGGGTGGGAGGGAAACAGGGATAAAGGGACTGGGGGAGGGGGTTGGCTAAAAAAAAGTAATTAAATTGATGAAGTTAAAACGGGCCCCACTGCACCAACTATCATTTATCAACTGTCGTAAATTATTCACTTGTTTGTTCCAAGCCAAAGGTTATGTTGTTATAGGGGGTGCTTCTAGAGACACTTGTACATACAATCTGATTAAAGCTGTCCAAGCCCACCCTTTTAAACCATTCCACCAGGCAGTATTCAGCTATTTAATCATAACTAGTTATTTAGGCAAAAACTGCTAGTTAGGCCATTAATAAGCATTCTTTTTATATTTCTTCCAGTATAATAAATTATTGATATCATTGCTGACTTTTATATTACGGGAGGGAAAAAAAAACATTAATAAAAAGGTGATAAAAGCACTGTTTCTATTTTTTTCTTTTTTTCCAAAAAAGAAAGTAATAAAAACTTAAATTCTTTGTACCAGTAAAAAAAAATGTATAAAATTTACATCTGTGCAGTGGAGTTGTTAAGTTCTAGAAACACAGCCTATGAAGCTTTAGATTTAGCCTAGTAGAACAACTGTTAGAGACAGACGTATCATTTTTATGGAATTACATGATAATCATATTCAAATTTATATAAGCATTTTACAAGTATTGCAATCATTGAGTAGAGATAATCATGGTATTTTCATCAGCTTGGTACTTTTTGAAACATGACTGTGTCCTGTAAACAATCTGCAATTTTTCAATCCGTGACAACCTGTCCCCTCCCTTCTGTACCCCACCCACAAAAAAAAAATCCAAACCAACACCTTTTTAGTTCATTGTCAGGCCCAGGACAAATTTCAGATGGGAGCAAAAGTAGGGCCATCTTCTCCTTCTAGAGCATCATGCATTTAAGTGACTCACACCTGGGTTGCTTGGAAGCTCATATACTTAACCTGGGGAAGGGGCCGAGGTGGCAGATTCAAACACAGTTGAAAAACTTGCAGTTTGTCTGTGCATATGTTTGGACTCTTTCCATGTTGTCCTGTTTACAAGTTAACCTGAGTTGGGGTGTTTGTCACGGGTCTTCCTGTTTTTTGTATTTAAAGAAATAAAGCAGGAAACTGTCTCGCTGCAGTTTTGCTGCTAATAGTTATATTCTCATGTGTACTAGTGCATGCCCTAGGGCATGCACTTTACTAAGTTATCAACTCACCGCTGTGAACCTGCCAACTTGCTTTAACAACTCTGCTTTAACAAAAAAAAAAAAACACAAAACACAAAACCACAAAAAAACCATAAAAACAAAAAAAAAAACCAAAAACAAAAAAGTGTTTGTGATCCAGCTTCCTCTTGTCATCGTATGTGCATGCAGTATGATCAGTTGGACAATAAACCATCAATAAAGTTTCACAAGATTTGAAAACCAAGTTTCTGTAGCATTGATATCTAAGACTGAAAATAAACTTATCTCAAAAAGAGAAAGATGTTAATGAACATAAAAAGGATATGTGACATTAATTTCCACTGGTTGGGGAATGGTGTAGAACTAATATGACATGTTCATTCCTCCACCTGTAAAACCAAATGTGTGAAAAGACAAGTGGCCTGGATAATATTTTTAAGGAAATCAAATTTACCAAAATGCTAAGGCATCCCAATTGGGACAATAAAATGGGGATTTTTTTTTCCCCTAAGTAGCTTCAAATGAAAAATGTGGAAATGCCATCTTTTTTTTGGAATTACACACACCAAATTATAAATATGTTGGTAATAACCAAATTTATTTGCAATTTTGATTTCCACTGATGAGATGCACTTCCCCCATGATTTAAGTAGTTTTAGTAAAATTATTTAAAAGATGTGGGTGCCAACTAATGATGCAGAATATTTTGTTTAGAAAGCTCCTTACAAGACTCCAATAAGTCATTTTAAAATGTATGTCTGAGATGTAAGAAAAAAGGTTTTGTTTTTTTTTTTTACAGTATATATTGGGAATGTTTTCACTTATATAAATAACTACTGATATTATGAATTATGGGAAAAAATTAATACCATGTGTGGCATATAGTGACTTCTAAACAACAAAAAAACTGCAAACCCAGAAAATGTGTATATCTGTCTTTAGAAATTAGTGTTTATATCACTACAGTGGTTTGTGAATAAAGAAAACTGGTTTGTAATATTAAAAATAAAAGCTTAGTCTGAAAAGGTATATGTAAGTTGGTGTTCAGAGTCATTTTGCTTTTTTACTGTTTCTTAAATATATACAAAGATACATTACTGGGGTATGCTGCTGCACCTGCATTCTCTCCAAGAAGATAGGAATACTGCATGCATATTGTTTTACTCCCTTCCCAGCAGGAGATCCATGCCCAGGATCTGAAATGACTCATTTTTTGCAGGTGCTTTCACACTCAGGCCAGTAACTTTCCCTTTAGCGAATTACCTTTCCAAAGAATTAAATGAAACCAACTCCAGCTGCTTAAGAAATTGAACTAAGCTCAGGTGTCACCAATGAGGAAAACCCAATCTATTTTCTTCTTGTTTTCATTTTTTTTAATTGTTTATCCAAATAAAAATATACTTATCCTAGGTAACTATAGTCTAATTCTATAGACCATAAATACAAAAGTTCCAATGTCTGGGATAATAAAATAATAAGCACAGGGGAAGGAAAGGAGAGGCAAGGAACAAACCCAGATTTCTGACACTTTCTTAAGAAAACTATTTAGATATGTCCAAATTTTCACATAGCGGGGAAAATGGCCTGTAATCTACAAACTGTATCAGGGTAACTACCCATTTAATTGAATAGTACTATTCTTTCTGGTGAGTTAGAAGTAGTGATTTGGTATTGAGCTTGAAATATCTCCCAGTATCAAAGAGCACTTTAAAAGTAAACAACTTTCGACTGAAACTGAGGGGACCACAGCATCTTAGGGTGTGATCAAGCTTCCTTGTGTGTTTGCTGCACCCTATCAACCTTGATGAACGGTTTTAGAAGAGCAAAAAGATATAAGGATTTGGTCAGGCTATTATATTTTTTTCACTTAGGACTATAATTTGATGGTAGAACAATGATTGGAAGTTGACTGACCTACCTTTAGTCTTTATAAAAACCACTGAAAAGGTTTTTCCCCCTTGACTAAAGATCTTTTTTTCCCCTTTAGCTGCCATTCCTCTGAACACACATACAAATATATTTTTCTTTTCTGGGAAGCCCTAGTCCACAATTAGCAATGTGTTCCCATTCATAATTCATGCCTTTGCTAGTTTATGCATCAGAACACTAAAGAATATATAGACATACACACAAAATTATCTATACATATATTTCTGCTTCTCATTACATTTCTTTAATATTCCATAGTCTCAAAGATTAATTCTGTAAATGGTCTCCTGGGAACTGAGTTGCAATCTAGTCATTTTATTGAAAAACAGGGGTTTTTTTGCCTGTCATCTTTAGAAATCACCGTAATATTTGATTAAAAAAAAAAGAGTGAATGAAAATCTTGTGTAGTGTTAGAGGTTCTCCCTGATTCTCCCAGATCTTATCAAAAGGATGGTTTACTCCTTAAGTCATATTTTGTGCAGCCCTGAGAACTACTGGTGAGACCTGAACTTTCTCATTAATGTTATTTGTATTCTATGGGAGATGTTTGTTTTCTACTGAAAGGGAACAGTTGTTCTCCTGGCACTTTTTATGATTCTCCTGTGACATACCCAGACTTACCTAGCTTGCTGCATACTAATCACCATTTGAGAAAACTTAAGGAAACACTAAAAATATGTGCATGTACTCTATGACTTAGATAAAAGATATTATTTCGTGCAAACAAATCTAGTAGATGTTTGTCCTGTAGAAAGAAATTTAGACAGATAGAGTACCTCAAAATCTCAAAGTGAATTATTACAGTATAATGAATAAGATGGCAGCAACAGGATGACATTATACTAGGCAAATGTAGACACACATCACTCCACCTGATGGTGCTTTTATATTATTGTCCTCCACTTTTGCTCAAATGGTCAACTTAGACCTCTATATAATTAGTGACCACCCCTAGAATAGTGTTCACTGGGTCCATATTTTCAGAAAATCCATATCCTTTTAGCATGAAACTAAGAGTGACTTTTCTTTAGCACCATGGTCCTGAAACTGAGCAATTATAAAACAAAACAAAACTCAGTGGGAAAAGGGAATCAACTGGCACAAAATAGAAAAAGAGTAAAGATATAAGAATGACTAAATAGACACTACCATTCATGGGTGATGATTGGAAAGTGACAAATGCACACGACCAACCAGTAAGTATAGATTCAAGAAAACTAAAGTCCAGCTCTCCAAGAATCAACCTTAAAACATAGCAGTAATTCTTGTTGTTGGGATTAGAGGAGAAGACTCTTACAGGCACAAACTAGATCTTTTTTAGGTCATACCATGAAGTTATCCAAAGTTTAAAAAAACAAAAAAGAAAATGGACAAAGACATCGTAGAAGTTTAGGCTCTTCATTTCTATGAGTCTCCTTATTTTGCTCAGGCTGCAAATGGTCCCAATTTATGTCTCGCTACTGGACTCAGATGACCCTGGAGGACAGAGTGAGGCTGATGACTTTGCACAGCTTGGCCTCACTTAAATCCAATTCACTTGCAAGTCAAGACATCACCCTCCTGATATCATTGGTCCTTTTCAAGAACAAAGAACGAACAACAAAAATAAAGGCTGATCCCACTTTGTCATAAAAGTCTGAGAGTCAAAGAAGCTTTGATCTGCTCCCTTTCAAACCTGGTGTAGTTTACTCCTCCTAAGCAATCCCTTTTCCATTACCCCACCACCACCTGGGGTTCACTCTATTGATGATGGACTTAGTGTTGACACCTGATTGGCTTAGCCCACTGTGCTAAGCCCACCCCCGCCCCCCAAGTAGCAAAGATCACAGGCTGTACCACCACATCAGCAAATTTTCTTTCCTGAAATCTAGAGACACACTGAGATCCATTGTGGTAGTTTCTACCAATACAATAGCAAAACC